TTTCTAATTTAAATGTGTTTCTAATTTAAATCCACTGTGGGCTCACTCATTCTCTGCTTTTCACCATGTGTGACCAAAAATGTTTTTCCACTTCAGGAACCTTTTGCCAGGAAGTAGAGCAGTTTATGGGGCTTATATTCAGATATTTAAATATGAAAAAATCAGATTATTCCATATTCATAAGCTGCATCAAAACAATAACCTTTCATCTCTAAATGCATGCATTCTGGCCTCTAAATGCATCAGCCAAAACTAGAAAGGCCGAATACGGCCATGTTAGCATCGGTATTGGCCAATTTTAGTTATTTTTAACATATCGCTATCAGTCCAATATAAACCAGGCCAACATTAATAACTAATTTTTTGCTTTTTTTTTTTTTTTAAATACATTTTTAATCTTGTTGCTGTTTGTGTTTCGGGAGGTTGGCCATGTGGTATTTGTTTGGTCATGTAACTACGATGCTGATGCAGAACAGGAATGTGGGGAGTTTTAGGTGTCTTAATTTTAGTGTAATGTTTTTTGCTGCTGTTTTGTATAAAATATTTATAAATAAAATAAAGAAATCAAGCTGGTTGCTAAGAATATTCAGTTTTTATTTTTTTGTAAAACATTAATTGGAGAGCAACTGAATCATGTAGCTTTTTATCGTCTTCAAAGCAATTTAAATGGCTTGCAATTGTGCACAGCCTTGGAAAAACGGCAACAGATGGAGGGTCAGCATTCAGCAGTGGTTTTTAAAACATTTACTGGGAGGTAAAAGCCACTGAAGTCATGTTTTATTTCTTGTTACAGAGGCAATACGCCTCCTTATTTGAGTGACTCGAGTCATGACTCCTTACTACTTCTGACATTTCGTCATTGTCACAAGGCCACTAAAGATGAAGTTGTGTAGTTTAATAGTCTGTGATGACTGCATGTTAGCATTAATGCACTTAAAGACCTTTTATGCTGCATTAAGCTGTCCAACGTATGAATTACAATTCAGCTTTTAAGAGCTGTAAAACCACAGACTGAAAACCCTAATTAGTGTAGAGTGGTTAATTAGCTACCGGTTTTATTTATTTATTTATTTTACATTTTTCATTCCCACTGGTTATTGATTGATTAGATTGGTTTGTAATTTCTTTGTCTTTAAGCAGTTGCATGTCTAAAGAAATGGGCAAGTTCTGAATTCCTTCATACTTTGTTGGTTCTTGCTTTGAATACATATTCTACTCAACTTCTACATGCTGTCTGTCTTTGCTTGCACAAGTGAGTAGGGGTGGGCAATTCGGATGTAAAGTTTTATTGCAACACTTTGCGGTACCATTTTGATGATGATATATTGCAACTTTTTTAGGCAACTGTATGACTATTACTGTGTGTCACAGCAATTACAGCCCCACATACATAAATGATGCTCTTGAAAAACATTCCCATTTGTAATATGCACCAGTCTAGAAAAAGATCAAATCAGAGCTAAGAATTTACCGTCCATTGAGCTTCTGTGAAAGATTACATTTGGCGACTCGATAACTGAAGAATTGAGGGATTTTTTTCTTCTTGGTTTTTGAAAACCTTTGCTGCTCTATTGGCATTTTCAAATGGTAAACTGCAGAAAGGCTGCAGTTTGCCATCCTTACTTCTGACTCATCGTTAGTTCTCAATCATTTTCTCTGACCTTTAATGTTTTCCAGGTAGTCTTTATGAGCTCATCCACTATAGATTCCCTAATGGTTCCTTATCCTAAAGCCTTAATTGATGTTTCATTGCAGTAAAGACTGTGATGGTGTACTGACAACATGGTCTCATCGTCTGGCATTTTAGGAATTCCTGTAGATAAAATTGTGAAAGCCAGTTGTCACATGTAACATGTTTTTATCCAAGGCATGTCTGACATGAACAAAACAGAGAAGAAACATCCAGATTCTGAACACGTTAATTGTTGATCAGAGCGATGAGTTGAATTTGTATATTTGGCAGGAATGTTTTGTTGAATACCAACTCTCTGTATCAGCTAAATTAAGGGGAGAGATTTTACAGATGATGGAAAGAACGTCTTTAAATGAATTATTTATTATTTTTACCAAATTGCTTGTTGAACTGAATTAGCTGTGTTGATTAGCGGCTTAGTTTTCATCCTCCTTCCGCTTTTGCTCATGGCAAATTTATGTTTCCCGACTTGCACAGTTTGGATTCTGCATGAGTTTTCTCCATGTCCTTCCCGAAGTCTTCGTTTCACATCTCTGGATCAGATTGCATTTGGACAATAGACATTTATGGTACTGTTTATTGTTGATCAGAATATAGCTGTATGATACCAACAATAAAATGCAGTTAGTGGTGGGCACTTGTACTGCGTACCACCCCTCCTTCCAGTTATTCACAACAGTGTTGCTACTTTGACCATTTTCTTCACTGTTGTGTCCATTAAAGCATCAATGAATATCAGTACATTTTAAAATACGAGTACGTTGTAATGCTGTGGATTTGGTGAATGATTCCATTAATTCCTGCTCTCTATATTTATCTACACATTTCCGACTATCTGGAGCTGCTCAGGATTTTCCTTCATGCATATTCTGCCGTTTCTTGTTGACGTACACGCCTCCGCTCCACCTTTGCCTTTTTCATGGTCCAGTGATCTTGGGTCAGGCCTCCTCTGACAGCAGCATGACTCCACTGGATTGGCATCTCCTCTTAAGCCCCTCTGCTTTCTCCTCTGTCATCATGTTGGTGAGCCCCTCAATGCTCTCTCTGTCTGTCCCCCTTTTTGGCTGTGGGATATGGGAGGGATTACATAGTGGGCCATCTTCCTGTGTTTCATCCAATCAGATGTGAAGCTTAGAAGAACAGGGGTGGCGGGCGGATGTTTAGGAAGGGTCGTCAGACTCTGTGGTTATGCCAGTCCAGTATCGTCCCATTCTGTCCCAGTCCCAGACTGGGAGCCACAAATGCTGGAGTCCTCAAAGCTAAAAGGGACTTCTGTAAATTTAAAAGATTTGATTTTGACAGCCCATTTGAACAGGATGTGAATTTGTTCTATAGTATTTAGGACTCCTTCCTGTCTCAGAACAATTTGGATTGGCTGCAATGGAATGAGCATATCTTGAATCAGGACTGCACGCTTCATTACATCCCTGAGATTGTTTGTGAGGTATGTGACGAGACAGAAATACTTAGTGTGTAAATACTTGAGAAGCTATGATGCTGCATCCAGTGTTTTTAATGTTTTACCTCCCTTTAAGTTTAACATAAAATGTCAGAATTATTTAAACTTACCTGAAAAGTCTTTGCTGTAAAGCTGAATTGCTGCTAAAAACTGCTCCAACTTCTTTCATAGGTCTTTTATAGAGTTGCATCAATCCACTTTTGTCATCCCAATACCAATATTGGTGGTATAGTATTGGCCGTTACCGATCTGATGCAGAAAGACAGTGCTGACTTAAAATGTTTCCATTTTTAAACACAGACATAAATGTACTAAATTGCACATTTATTTAATAACTCTGCACCAGTACAGCACATTTAAATACACCAATAGCATCACAAGCTTGGTCAAGTAAGTAAAATCAACACAACTAATTTCTTTAGTCAACACAATTAAGAGTAGAACAGCCAATGTAGAGTAAGTAATAAAGAAACTGAAACTGACAAAAACAAGGCATAGAATCAGACTGAATAGATCTGTGCTTATAGATCAGGCTCATTGTCACTGATACCGGATCTACAAGTTTTATATATAATATTGGGAAAGATACAGATATTAATATCAGATTGGTGCATCGCTGGTATTTTTGTAATGTTCATCTTGCTTAACCATATAATCAAATAACCTTTTAGTAGAGAAGGTCATATCTTTTTCTGCTATATGTTCTGGTCTGTATGAATCCAAACAACTAATCATAGCTGAATTGCGGCGCTCCTGGTGGCAGCATGTTCTCACTTTCTGTATCCAGAGATGGCGGTGGCCAAAATAAACCCAACAACAAAAGGAAACACTTTGTTGTGTTTGTTTTTTAATCTGGTTTAGTTTAGCTTTTAAGGATAAATCGGATTACTGGCCTTGCAATAGGTGATTGCATTATATGCAAATGTGCTGTTATGTTACTTGACTTGATGCAATTTCTGCAGCTTTTCTGATAACCTGCATGCATACAATATATTGACTGAATGCATCTAGTAAACGGTAAAACAGTGTGAAGTGAGAAAGGAGCTCACCTACTACCTTGGATTCCATTTTCATTTTCTTTTCTTTTTTCATTTAAATCTGTCAGTCATTCTGTGCTAACTTAATTAATTTTTTTTTTTTTTTGGAATCCTTTTTTTCATGATAATTATGATTTAGAATATTTAGGATCTCAACATTTACTCTTTTAAACAATACTGTAATGATATCAGTTGTGATATATCTGCCTGTTATCTTCTTTTCTCTCTTTGTGCTTCCATCACTTTGTCATTTTTAGCATTTTGATCTGTCATTTGTGTGGCTAAATATTACATTATCTTAAAAATGCAACACTTGGATTATATTATACAACAATGTTTGCACGCAGTCTTTTGTGATATGAATATTGCACACACTACAATGACATTTGTTATTAATGATATACTGTGCAGCATTATGTGGTGTGCATTTGTATTCAGCCCCCTATACTATAATGTCCCCACATGAAATCCTGCACAACCTGTTGCTTTCAGAAGTCTGTGTGCAATTTAACCTCAGTATAAATGCAGCTGATCTGTGAAGACCTCTTTAGTGAACAAAAAGATCAAGAATCACATCCCAAACTGGTCAGTGAATTAAACTTGGTAGTCGTGGTAACATGCTGTGGAACAAGGAATCTGGATTAAAGAGGGAGTAAATGTTTTCTAATTTTATATATATTGTTTTGACTAGTTAATTTAGGTTCGAGGTAAAGTAAAATATATGAAAATGCATTTGTTTGTTGGAAAGTCCTAGTCAAAGAGCAGACCTTAACCTAATTAAGGATCTAGCTTCAGCTATATGGCAATAAAGAAAGTGTTCAAATATCAGTTTGTTCCCTTTTCCACAGCAAAGTGTAAACATTTAGATTTTTTCTAGAAATTTCAAAAAGGAAAATTGTTTCACTGCAGAGCGTTTTTGTTTTGTTTTTGTTTAGTTTTTGTTTTGTTTTGAGCAAACCCCATGCTCCTCGTTTTGGGGTTGTACGACTTTCCCCGTTGTCAACAATCATAGCCTGGACAGGCTTGGCCAGGCTGTAACCTAAGCTCCTGGTCCTCTTGTTTCCCTCAGGGTAACATGACCCAGGATTGCTTTGTCACATGCTGGAGAGAGAGGTTCCCTCCCCACACCCACACTGCCTTTGTCCAACACAACACTGGCCGTCAGTTTAGCTTTTGCAATTAAATTCAACATTGAGGTGGCTGTGCCTCCGAGGCTCTGGCTTTAATAAGTTTAGGCCTCGTTTGGACTCTGTGGGTGTATTTGTGATTATACAACACAGGCTTTTTGAAGTGGAATGTTTAAAACATAAACTGCATGTGAGAGTGATGTGAATTACAGTTTACAGTTTAATATCCAAGTCCTTCACATCTCTGCAACCGTCTTGGTTTTGTTTGTGAAGTGGAAAAGGCGGATGATGTGTCTCGGTGTGGGACTGGGTCCAGTAACAAAGAGACGCCCTGTGGACAGCAAACAGCTGAAAAATGACAAAAACAAACCAACACCGCTGTCTTCATACGGACACAAAGCTTTCAGTTTGATTTGTTTAATCTGTGGTTATTCTGGTCTTCTGTCTAAGCTTTATAGAAGTTGCTTATCAGCTGGATCTTGACTGTATCTGTATTTCATGTTATTCGGCATACTTCAGCCGATGTCTAAGCATGATCCGATCAATCAGTTCATTGCAAGATAAATTAAACATGAGCTCAGTAATTTCTGTTTTGAATGGCAATTTTGTTTAGAGACGTCATAATCCATTTTATATATGGTTTTAGTTGAGTGTAGTTTTTATTTCCTTTTTGTTGTTTTTGGTTATGTTTTTATTTTGGACATTTAAAATATCTTCCAGTTCCAGTGTGGAGTGATTTGTACGAGATTCAAGTTTATTTGTCTTTGAGAGGGAAAACTTGCATTATTATGCCATTATCAACATATTACTTGAAAATGATCTGAAAGCAACAATATTGTTGTTTAGTACAATAATTTCTGGGACAATTTCTTGACCCAGCAAAATTTGTTATTGTGAAAAGCTTTCTTTTCTCAATAACAAATAATAACAATAATAACACATTTTAAAAAAATCAATAAGTTTCATCACAGTTCAACTTGCTCAAAAATATATTTCCCCTACCAGAGCGAGACTGTGCAGAAAAAAAGAAGAGGGTGAGAAAAATGTGGCTAGGTTACAACTCATTAATACACTAACAATTATGCTGAGATTGTGTTTGTTCCTAATATTGTGCAGCTGTAGCTCTTAGTGCAGTTTAACTACAGATGCGCTGTGATATTTTTAATCTGATGCCGGTGATTTGTTTTGTAATCAGAGTAGCTGAGACCAAAATTATCCCAGTGCTTTTAAATCTGTCACAGGCATCAAATTGTGCAGTTTGTTTCAAGAATATCGCCGCTCACAGTGGCGGCGTCGGAGCAGCTCTGTTATGTT